CCGGGGTAGACCTCGGAATGTAGCCTCCAACTTCCCGCCGGGACCGCCTGGCCACGGACCCGGCCTGGGCTGCGACAGCACTGAGGGTCCTGGGATCCTTCGCCAAATTCCAGCCTCGGCCTCAGCGCCCCTAAACCGCAGCCCGAGGCCGAGCGCAGAGCGTGGCGCAGGCGCCGCGTCCCGGGCGGGTTTCCAACTCAAAATCCAGGCCCGCGGAGAGGCCCCCTCAGTCCCAAGCAGCCACTTGGTTAGGAGCCTCTTTGGTCAGCGACGCCCGGCCCCAGTCGCTAATTTTTGTGTGCGGTTCAGACACTTGCACTGTCCTGCCGAGTCGCCGCGATCCGGCCTCCCCCCGCCACCAGCACCGGCCCACGGAGCGCGCCGCTGGATTCTGTCACCTCCTTGCGGTTTGGTTCCCGCCGCTGTAAAATGAGGACTACCTAAGTCGTTAAAGGCCCTTCCGGGGAAAGTAAAAATGTCACTTTATTGTGAGAATAGGATCATTTTAAACATATCTTTACGAACCAGGAACCTAATTAAATGCCTTCTAATGCCGCGGGGGTTAGATCGGAGGCGTTGCTTTTGGGGAGGAAAGGGCAGGAGTGGGCCATGTTCCGGCTCCCATCAGCTCTGCTGCCGTCACCAGCGGGGAGGCTGGCAGAGGAGTGAGGGAGACCGGGCCGGCTTGATCTGCTCGAGGTGCCAGCATCCTGGTACTGCCTGAGATAGGGGCTGTGTCTGCCTCCCACTCTAGTTGAAATGATCCCACTAAATTGTTCTGGTGTCAGACCAATTACTTAGTTATTAAACCCCTTTGATATGACCCCAATTGATATGGGGTAGGAGAAGGGGGAAAAAATACCAACAGAATATTTAATCGGAGGATTTTACACCTTCCACCGTCCCCTTGAATTCCCAGAAAGGCCCTGTGTCCCGTTCTCCAAACAAGGAAGTTGGGGAGCAGAAAAGGCAGGCGACCAGTTCCACCCCGCACCCCGACTCAGCCCTGGACCCCAGCCCGGGTCGCCTGCTCTGGCTGGATCCCGACCCCACCGCGACCGCTGATGGCAGCCTGGAGAAGCCCCACCGGCCGCGGGTCCTTCAGTTTGTGCTGGCCCAGGCTCCCCCGATTTTAAAGAGGCCAAATCTTCACATGAGTGGGAGGCCTGGGTTGGCTCTAAAAGCCTGCAGACCCCGCGCTGGCCGGCTACCTAGAATATATTTGCTCGCAAGTCCTAGTGAGCCATGGATTTATCTGACACTATCGAAGGGCCTGGAAACAGAGGCGGCGGCGTACCCTTTGCATCCTTCATCCCGCATTTAGGAAATATCACTCCCTCCCCCCCCCCC